TGTGAGAGATGGAAAGCGATTTTCAAGCACAGAATTAAAGAATGACATTATAATATAAAGAGGTTATCACGCTTGTGTGTTTGGGGATGGTAAATATCCTGTATTAGGAATAAACACTACGTAGTTAGCTTGCTAAATTCAATGTTTATTCCTAATGCAGGATATTTACCATCCCCAAACACACTCGCGTGATAACCTCTATTTACAACATCTGTCTCTCAGGGTAAGCATGATGTAAGGAGTGATACAAATACAACTAAAACGCTTCTGCGCATGAATGATTGTCACCAATCAAATGCTTCTTTGCCCTTCATGGTTATGGTCAAACATAATCAACAACACAGTCACGTGTTCACTCTCTGTTAGTTCACGCTCAGTCTTAAAGCGAGTTTCAATAATGTCTTTTACATTGACAAAATGATTTATTCCATGATTGTTATCATCCCCCAAAGGGTCAATACTCCCAGTCAGCTCTAGCTGCAGCTGAACCTGTTTATTGATTCCAAACAGGCTTTCAGGAATGGCAATTTCATCAGCAATATCCAAGGTAGGCACTTCATCCACCAACATATCAACTCCATTTCAAATTCCCCGCGACGTCTTGAGGCTTCAACTACATACGACTCTGCTGGAAGTTCTCTTGGTAATTTTGTCCTGGGACTCCTTTTACTGACCATCTTCACAAGCTTTTAAAAGGGTAACCCAAAATGATGAGACGTACTCCAACATTACTCCTCATTTCAAACAAGAACAAATGAATGCCTTCATCCCAATCTTTTTCAGCCGCAAAACAGTAAGTCCTTAAGAGTCTGATGAAATCTCTCTAAAGCTCCTTGAGATTCAGGATGATAGGCGTTAGACTTAATCTGAGTTATGCCTGTCTGGTGCATGGACTGTTAGAAATCACCTGGCATTATGTTAGAGCCCTGATCTGACTGAATAGTGCTAGGCAAACCACCCATGGAGAAGAACTCTACCAAAGCCTTGATAATAACCTGAGCTGTAATGTTCCGTAAATGAATAGCTCCTGGGAACCTTGTGGAAGCACACATGATAGTAAGCATCTACTGATTTCCTGACTTAGTTCTAGGAAAAGACCATCACAATCAATGATGACCCTGTTGAAAGGTTCTTCAAAAGCTTGAATTGTCTTCAAACGTGCTGCTGGGATTTTGTAATTAGGTTTGCCAACCACTGACACACATGACATCTTTTTCAAAATTCAGCCACATCATGCCGCAAATTAAGCCAAAAGAAAAGGGACAGAATTTTGTCACACGTTTTGTTTACACCCAAATGACCTGCCAAACGTGTTTCATGTGGCAAACTCAACTTTTTCAAGCTATTCAGTACTTTCTAAAGTGCAAGGCTCAAGACAAACAACAACATCAGCGAAATACCCCCACCAAATCATTCCCTATGTGCAAATCTACACCTTTAACATGTAGACACCCCCCACCCCCCATCCCCACCTTCCCAACCACCAAACCTAGACACTTAACACATATCTTCAATTTCGCAACATGGAGAGGTTCACTGGTAAAACCACATAAACTCTCTAGCAGAACCCGAGTTAGCTGATGGCCCCTCAGAAAATGGCAAAATACCATCCAAAATCCGAGTTTGAAGAGCACCAGTATCCCTCAAAACGGCTTAACATTGGAACTATCACCTTTAGCTGACACATAACTTTTACTGAAGGCTAAGGCTGTGACTTGACATTCACAAATGCGTTCGGGGAAGAATGACTGTTCTTGAAAGCGAGCAATATCTACGTGTAAGCTCTGACGAAAATCTGTTGAGCCAACTGGAGTAAAGCTTGACTTTTTATCAACAAATTCAGAACCAGACTTTTTAGAACTAGATCTGGAGGGAATGAACCATCCTTTCCTGATTTGTCAAATAAAATATCAAATTTTGTATTTGATACTGACCACTGCTATCATATTATGCACTGCCACTGAATATTGTACAAGCAATCTATTGCATACTGCCATTGTAATTGCTATGCATTAATTTGTGTCGATTTGTGAACCTAGTTAATCTTGTCAATACAATTGTTGATTGTATACCATTTGTTGTCTGATTGTTGGTTTCACACTAAAATCTTTTATGTACAGATTTCTGGGTTTACTTATTGTTTCAACTTAAGAATCGACCTGCGGCAAAATACATATAATTGATATAATGCTAATCAAAAAGTTCTTGTCAACTTAAGAAGATCTTGTGAAATTTAAAACAATTTTGTGAAGTTTAAAAATGTCTTGCAAGGTTTAAACAAGTTTTGCGAAGTTTAGAAATATCTTGAGAATTTTAAACAGGGTTTGACCTGTCTTGTGTGCCACAGACAATGGATGCTTCAATGACCACCACGTTTCAAGAACTACATTGAAGATTCTTTTAAATAGAGAAGGTCACCCGAGTATGTTGATATCGAACACATCAACAGGAGTCGATGAACGTTTGCTCTCTGAAGCTCGTGTCATCCACCGCTGCTCATCCAACAAATGATATCCCACTTTTACAGCTTGTAAACAGTAAGCGATATCTCCTGTGGAAGCCAGTATTGGATAATAAATAATAAATAGTAACAAAAAGCAATATTTTATGGATTTGTTAATACCCTTATTCACAATTATTTAATACAACATCATAAATTTGTTTCAGCACTAGAAACACATCGAACTGTACATTTTAAGTTTTAAGAGAGAATGTGTAAGTCCTTGATCAATAAAATCTATCATCAAGACGTCAGTTACTAGAACACTATCAACACGAGAAAACGCAATCCACTTTTAACATAACTAGGAAATATTAAGCTGACCAGCAATAGATATATCGTGTGCCCTTTGTCTCATTGCATTAGAGAAGTTGAGACCAATGACCAAGATGGACTACATAATATTTAGTTTTTTTCAACGTCCTGCAAGATAGCCATGTATAACATTACAAAGTAAGCAGTCTAATTCTCAAAACAAAATAGATACACTGTCTGACCCAAACTTTACGCTAAATTCACAGGTCATGGAAAAAATAAGTTTATTTTATCTGTGCCTTAATTTGGAAATAAAGTTTGCTCTGCCCCATGTTCAAATGTGATTTCTTTTTTAAGACCTGGTGTTTTATTGGAGCTGGGTTTAAAATAAAATCTGTAAATACCTGTGAAGTACACTCAAAGTCCCCAAACAGGGCTAACTTACGGGATCTTCCGCCACATAATTGCCTGCACCCTCACGTTAAGAGACATATCTACGTTTTAAGCATAATACAACGCCAATAAAATGGGTTGTGTATTTTTAAAATCATTTGATTCCATCATCCGTTCAGTGTGTGATTATCCGTTATACTAATCAGCAATAAATAATTGAAGTTTTTACATTAATTTGCTTCAATTTATTCACGTGACTCGAAACATTCCAGTGCATTGTGCATTGAGCTGACACGTAAACATGTCCGACATACGGTGTCGCTGGTTATTGTGAGTTTTCTGTTTTTTTGTAGTTGCAAGTTTGTTTCCACCACTACTGTTAGCAGACTGCAACAACCGCAAGCCATGTGGCGTGATATGGCGTCGCCGTGGGACGAACATGGCTGAGGAAGAGCGAAAGCGTCCGTTTTGACTGACTGCAGTTTCTTGCGAAATGTTCGTACGCTGTGCAAATGGTGTACATGTGGTTATGAAACTTTTCGAGGATTGCGCATTCTTTTGTCCAGAGACAGATATGATTCATAAAGCAAGAATGCCCGCCTCGGACAGTTTTGTGACTACTGAATGTGGCGCGAATATATAGATGAACGTACATATCCTTCTCACAAGACCACCTTCAAGACGTAATTGTCAACTGGCTATGGACTTGCTATCTTTATGTGATTACTGTGAGTCATCATTATTTAGATACGGTTACAGGGCAAGTTCACACGAAAATAAACCTATTTTTCTTGTACTTTTTTATTATGAAAAGTATTAACCTAGTAGTTTCAGCGACAAAACAATAAAAATATCACAAGTATCTATTTTATTTTATTAATAAAATCGATTCATATGTTTCACATGTACCGTAGTTCTATTTCCATAATAAACACACCATGGCTTATGCCCCTTGCAATATGACGTCATTGGTGCCAATTGATAAAGGAATAACGTCATCAGACTTTATTAGACGCGTTTCACGTTGTGGATGTAGAGGTGTGTGGTTCTATCTTCTCAGATGCGCAGCCTATTGCTTTGTTCGGTGCCGCGCTGTTCAAGATACAACGCTAAGCACAATTATTCTAAAATCATTTCGTTTTCCAAAATCGCGACTGAGAAGACAACAATGCAAGGATAACGTACTGTAAGATTCGCGATGATGGTTGGAGGGGTTCGTTGTATGAATTGCGCTTATTCGTTCATTTGTTGTTATTTGTATAATAACACAGTAAAACAAATTATAAATTATATAAACACATTGAATGTGTGTGTGTGTGTGTGTGTGTGTGTGTGTGTGTGTGTGTGTGTGTGTGTGTGAATGTGTGTGTGTGTGTGTGTGTGTGTGTGTGTGTAGGGGGGGATACCTAATCTTAAAATAAGCGGCAAAAATTCATCGTTGCAACAAGTTTAATTGTTTTGATTTAGGCTTCATATAGAGGCATGACATTTTCACACTTATTGTGATAGTTTTGCGTTTTGTTTAAAATAAGAAAGAAAGTGATTTTTGCGTGCACACTTCCCCTTTAATTGTTTTAAAGTTTCTACAATTTATTGACATCCATAAAAAGGCTTACTCGTCGTTTACAGTCAGCGCCTTAGATCTTTAAGCGAAGAATCTTGGGATCAATAATAAAGTTTTAATAATTTAAGACTACTCATATATCACAGATAATAGCAACAAGACCACTCAACCACCAACTCAAATATCGACATCTCCTCTTTTTATGTCGGTACTTTGTGCATATATTTCTTGATATATTTTTTATTTCAAGAAAAGAAGACGTTAAACCTTTCAGTTTTATTCAGTCATACAACATATATAGATGAACGTACATATCCTTCTCACAAGACCACCTTCAAGACGTAATTGTCAACTGGCTATGGACTTGCTATCTTTATGTGTTTTTCTTATCCTGCTTGGTAAGTATGTTACCTTAAGTATCAAAGTATTAAATGTAATAAATACATTACTGATTCATTTCATGCCATTATTAGTTGTTCGACTGTTTCATACCATGTCATATTGACCGCCTCCGTTGTCGGGGCGTCTACCCGGAGAGCGGAAGGTCGGGGGTTCATACCGAGAGACGTTAAAAGATGGTACTTTTTGTTAGCCTGTCTGGCGCTTGGGGCTGAAACAAAGACTGTTCGGCTCGGAGTCAGTATACTGTGTCTGAGTGGGGTATTCATATTAAACTCTGGCAAGGTATCTCAGTGGGCCATAAAATCGGCAATAGTCCGGACACACACACACATGCACGCAAGTACGCACTCACGCACGCACGCACGCACGCACGTGCGCTCGAGTGCTACTTCGCGATATAATCTCAATAATCTTGTACATGACGCTCAAAACCATTTCACCTCACCCCATTTGCCATATCCTACCTTTGGCTTTACAAGTGATGATGGTGCAAGTCTCTCTTTTGTTCGTTTTCTGGTGTCCCCCGCCGTGATATTGCTGGGGTTATTTATAAACGTGGTGTAAAACCCATACTCACTCAATCTCCTGTCCGTACCCACATGGCAAGTGCTGATTGTTTACTCCCCAATCCTGTTTGTACCAACTTGGCAAGTGCTAATTATTATGTCCCCACTCCTGTACGTACCAATTTGGGGGTGCTGATGGTTCAGTCTCCACTCCCGTTCGTACAAACATGGGCCCCTCTCTTGTCCATACCCAGATTGCAAATGCTGATGATTAAGTGCCCACTCCTGTTCTTACCATCTTGCTCGTACTTGAGTCCTCCCGACTGTACGATGATGGCAATTGCTGATGGTGAGGTTCCCCCTCCTGTCCGTATCAACTTAGCAAGTGCTGTTGGTTACGTCTCCTCTCCTGTTCTTACCAACTTGGCAAGTGCTAATGTTTAAGTGCCCTCTTCTGTCCGTACCAACATGGAAAATGCTAGTTTAGTCCTCTCACCTTTCCGTACCAGACTGACAAGTGCTCATAGTTAAGTCCCCTCTACCGTCTGTACGACCATGGGAATTGCTGATGGTGAGGTCCGCTCTCCTGTTCGTACCAACTTGGATATGGATCCACCTCAGCAGCGCCACCTGGTGGTAGAAAATCCAAGATGGCCGCCAAAATGGTTAAAATCTTTTATGATGTCAATTTATATTCAATATATCATCATTATTTTGTCAATTTTAGTCATTTATATAAAATTAATTAATCAATGTATACGTGTGCCAAGTTTGGTGCTTTTAACCCAAAGTGCACAATTTTAGCCTTAACCGCCCCACTATCATACCAATATCACAAATGCTGATGGTTAAGTACCCTCTCCTCTTCATCGCAACTTGGCAAGTGCTAATCGTTAAGTACCCTCTGCTTTCTGTATCAACTTGGCAAGTGCTGTTGGTTACGTCTTCTCTCTTGTTCGCACCAGTTTGGCAAGTACTATTGTTTAAGTGCTCTCTTCTGTCTGTACCAACTTGGAAAATGCTAATAGTTCACTCATGATCTCCCATCAGTGCTATGCAGCATACTCTGTACTTCTCTATTCACAGGGCATGGAACAACTCTAACACCATCAAGTCTGCTTTTGAAATGTAAGTATATTTTATTTGTGCTAGTTTAGTCCTTTCTCCCGTCCTACCAGTTTTGGCAAGTGCTCATAGTTAAGTCCCCTCTCCTGTCTGTACCAAGTCCTTTCTCTTGTCCGTACCACTAAACTGATGGTTAATTTCCATCCCCATTCTGTATCAGCTTGGCAAGTGCTGATGGTTTAGTCCCCACTCCCGTTCCTACAGACATGGGATGTGCTAATGGTTAAGTCCCCACCCCCACTCCGTATTATTATGGCAAGTGCTAATGTTTACGTCACCTCTCCTGTCCGTACCAACTTGGCAAGTGCTAATGTTAAAGTGCCAACTCTGTCCGTTCCAACTTGGAAAATGCTAGTTTAGTCCCCTCTTCTGTCCGTACCAAGTTGGCAAGCGCTGATAGTTTAGTCACCACTCCTATCCGTATCAACTTGCCAAGTGCTGATATTTATCTTCTCTCCTGTTTGTACCAACATGTAAAGTGCTGATGGTTAAGCCCCCTTCCTGTTCGTACCATCCTGGCAAGTGCTGATGGTTAAGCAGCTTCCTGTTCGTACCATCTTGGCAAGTTCTGATTGTTATGTCCCTTCTCCTGTTCTTATAAAGAACTTACCAAATGCTGATATTTAATTCTCCTCTTCTGTTCATACCAATATCACAAATGCTGATGGTTAAGTCTCCTCTCCTCTTTGTCGCAACATGGCAAGTGCTAGTCGTTAAGTACCCTCTACTCTCCGTACCATCTTGGCAAGTGCTGTTGTTTGCGTCTTCTCTCCTGTTCGTACTAGCTTGGCAAGTGCTTTTGTTTAAGTGCCCTCTTCTGTCTTTACCAACTTGGAAAATGCTAATGGTTCACTCATGATCTCCGATCAGTGTTATATGCAACATATTCTGTACTTCTCTATTCACAGGGCTTGCAGAACGAAATCAAACACTAACAAGTTGGTTTAGGAACTGTAAGTATATTTTATTTGTGCTAGTTAAGTCCTTTCTCCTACCCTTATCAGCTTGGCCAGTGCTCATAGTTAAGTCCCCTCTCCTGTCTGTATCATGTTGGCAAGTGCTGATGGTTTAGTCCGCACTCCTACTGTATGACCATACGGCCAGGATCTTATAGGGTGTATGATTTTGACAATTTCACATTGAGCATACTGAGTATTGGTGCTTGGGGATACCAAAGGTAACAGTATGTAAAATTGGTAGAGAATACCGAATACTACGTTGATAGGAAATCATTAGGATTTTGATCCCTTCTTTTTTTGTGGGTAATCCTTTCATGTTGATGGAAGAATGGCACTGAACGAGTTCATACAATCTTTGTCACACAAGATCGGACTTTGTAAAAATCCCTGTTCATCTGTGACAACTTCCATCTGGTGACAGTATAGTGAACTTGATAAATAATGATGAAATTTTATATTATATTTACATTGTCAAATTGTAAATGAAACTGTTATCTAACCTATTTATATATTACATATGGGAAAAGTCCACGTGTGGAAATGTCAGTGTGGAGTGTTGTTCGAGAGGCAAATTGTCCTGTTGGAAAATACCAGTGTGAGGAATTGTCCATGTGGGGTAATGTTCCACACTCAGCATGCAGTGGTATAGCTGAAATAATGTTCAGAGTGGCGTCCAACCAAACTCATCCACTCCTTCATCAGTATATTTCCATTTTCATCCAAATACCAGTAACCGACGTGGGCCATCATTACAGGCTGCAGGCAATATGGACTCGAAACTTAACTTCATGAAACGAAAATGTGGCATATGTGGCTGGCTGGTTTAATCAAACGACTAATGCTTTAAAGGGGAAGTAAACTCAACAAAGCAACTTTGCGGATTAAACAATTGAAGAACGAAAATAGGCAATGAAAAATGACAAGTGAAATCGTCCCCCAAAAGAAAATATCCGCCACTGGGGTTAAAACTGGGTCCAGGTGTTTGCGCACTGCACAATTCCAGCGGTCTTGCCGGCGCCCAGTCTGCCTGCTTCCGCATCGGATTTTTTAATTGCATTACGCGGCTTTTTTCTCTCTGCTTCATCGTTGGATTACCGTGCCCACAACTTATGTCAACTTATTCCTTACTAGTAACAACATTGAAAATGAGTTCAGTTGTCTACTCAGGGGATTTATCCCTGACAGGCATTTATTGTGTGGGGTATTGACCAGAGAAATAGGTGGTTTATGTTACTCAAACAGGATGTTAGTCATAACAAACTCGTTACTGACATTAATTGTTATTTAAATTATTCACAATGTCAAGATCAAATGTCGCTTCACACACTTAACAACGTATGCAATGTTATTTCTTTAGGATCAACAGAAATAGAAACACCTTAAGATTCCGTCTTGACTGACCCCTACATGAAGTATCCGTATAGCTGTTAAGCATCACAAGACATACTATATTGTAGATAGACGCTGCAACCAACCTACATATAAGCAAGGGTGCACGGTTGTCTCAGTCGTCTGGGCAATTCGCTGTTCAGAGTTGCGTCCCTTGGGTACACATGAAACCCATGATCATAGTGGGTTTGATTGCCGGTTCGCTCTGATTATGTTTCTAAGTCTGTCAGCACCATACCCGTGCTCGTGGTTTCATCAAACTGGTCTGTGGCCTGCATCACTTCGGGCTTTCCATACCAACTTAGCAAGTGCTGATGGTTTAGTCCGCACTCCTATCCGTATCAACTTGACAAGTGCCAATATTTTAATCTCCTCTCCTGTTCGTACCAACTTGACAAGTGTTGTTGTTTGCGTCTTCTCTCCTGTTCGTACTAGCTTGGCAAGTGCTTTTGTTTAAGTGCCCTATTCCGTCTGTACCAACTTGGAAAATGCTAATGGTTAACTCATGATCTCCCATCAGTATTATATGCATCATATTCTGCACTTCTCAATTCACAGCGACTCAAGAAGGAAGTCAAACAAGTATTTTTTGGAAATGTAAGTAATTTTTTTATTTGTGCCTTTCATATCTACGAGAGGTAGCACGGGTGGCCGAGTGGTCTAAAAATTGGTAGAGAATACCGAATACTACGTTGATAGGAAATCATTAGGATTTTGATCCCTTCTTTTTTTGTGGGTAATCCTTTCATGTTGATGGAAGAATGGCACTGAACGAGTTCATACAATCTTTGTCACACACGATCGGACTTTGTAAAAATCCCTGTTTATCTGTGACAACTTCCATCTGGTGACATTATAGTGAACTTGATAAATAATGATGAATTTTTATATTATATTTATGTTGTCAAATTGTAAATGAAACTGTTATTTAACCTATTTATATATTACATATGGGAAAAGTCCACGTGTGGAAATGTCAGTGTGGAGCGTTGTTCGAGAGGCAAATTGTCCTGTTGGAAAATACCAGTGTGAGGAATTGTCCATGTGGGGTAATGTTCCACACTCAGCATGCAGTGGTATAGCTGAAATAATGTTCAGAGTGGCGTCCAACCAAACTCATCTACTCCTTCATCAGTATATTTCCATTTCCATCCAAATACCAGTAACCGACGTGGGCCATCATTACAGGCTGCAGGCAATATGGACTCGAAACTTAACTTCATGAAACGAAAATGTAGCATATGTGGCTAGCTGCTTTAATCAAACGACTATTGCTTTAAAGGGGAAGTAGACAGACGTTGCAACCAACTCTACATATCAGCCAGGGGGCACGGTTGTCTCAGTCGTCTAGGCAATTCGCTGTTCAGAGTTGCGTGAAACCCATGATCAAAGTGGGTTTGATTGCCGGTTCGCCCTGATTATGTTTCTCTGTCAGCACCATACCCGTGGATTCATCAAAGTGGTAGCCGTCTGAGACTTGCATTACTTTGGGCTTTCCTCCCACATCCAGCTAACACGCCGTGATGTTACTGGACTGCTGATAAAAGCGGCGTTAACCCATACTCACTCACTCACATATCAGCCAATGAAAACATTTGTCACGCTCTGCAGCACTATTCCGCCCCAAGCTTTAGGCCACGCCCCAATAAAACAGTTTTGTTTTAGAATCTATGGAGCTTGTTATTCAGCAATTTTTCAGAAAGTATTTAAATGTTCCGAAATTTGGACATTTAATACTTCCTGAAAAATTGATATTGGCAATAAATCGCAACCACTTTTTTCACTTTACCTGCACTTTAAACAGCTTGTCTTTATGGCACTGTGACTCGGAATTTATGAACAATCAGTAAACCTTCTTTAAAATGTAATTATATTCACCTGAAATGAAATATTATTATACTGTCGATTGATATATAATATATATTTAAAGTATTAATGTGGGATTGAACCTTTTTAAGCGTTTTATCATTTCTTTGGTTTTGCATCTGAAGTGCGTAGTGTATCTAAACTGACCTTTACTAAATACGTCCTGAATACCCGAAATATATCTGCCGTAACTGATTTTCGGAATATATTTTCATGTTATATGATCATACATAATTTTCAATCATTCTGTAGCACTGTTAACTAAATTTGGTTTTAAATGACACATGCTTACTATACATTTCTACGTATCACTAACCTTTTTTTATTAATTAAGAATGTTATCTAAAGCAATTCCCTATTCACAGCGCAATCATCATCAGGAAATTCATCACATCAAAATGCGGAAGAAAACGGCAAGTATATTTTTTGTGTGATTTCACGTGCATCTGTTCAACAATAGAAGTAGCACTGTTGATCGAGTGGTCAAAGATGCCACATCTCCATGTACAGAGCTACACGCTGTAACCGCCAGGACCTCCTGGTCATGGCCCAGTTAATGTTCCTGTTTTGTGTTCCCACATTAAGAGGTATCAAGCCGTGGTAAGCGGAAGTAGTCTTCAAGGCGGCGTTATTGCAAACTCACTCACTCCTTTATCAGTATATTTCATTCTCATCCAAATACCAGTAGAACATGCCATCATTACTGGCTTCAGGCATTATACTGTATGAACTAGGAACCTGACCTCCGGAAATAATCATGTGCGGTGTCACCCGTCACGTTGGTACATGCTGGAATGTTAGTGATGCTTCTCTGAACAAACGACTAATACTTCAACACAGATTAACGTGACCATTTCCGTGTTTATGCGGTGGTTTCCTGACAGTGCTACAGAATAAATCAGTTGGAGTGTTGTCCGAAAAACAGTTGCGTCAGGCTTATTGCGGGTGTTCAGGTGTGTAGATAAACAGACTTTGATAGCTCGGGTTTCAGGATATAATCCCTTTTTTAAAATTCAGTGAAGTTTCCATCTGCACTTATTAAAATATTCATGATTGATTGTCGAACTTACGCTTGTCTCGAAGAAGTAAAAGCTTGGTCCCGGCGTCATTCTTCTTTATTCATCATTTTCGGTTGGTTTGAACTTCGGATAACACGAAGTATTTACGTAGGTCCCTTAAACTTCGACACAACGGTGTTTCACTGTATTATTTAAACTGTCCATGTGGCAGTACATTGCTTTTATGACTTTGATAAGGACTAACCATACAGAAGCGTTGTTATCTGAAGTGCATGGATACCAAAGTCTGTTTATCTGCATTTTCATTCACTAAATACTTCCTGAATATCCGTCATAAACCTGACGTAACTGTTTTTCAGAATTATTCATTCTATAGCACTGTCAATGTTTGGTCTTAACATGATTTTAACTTTCTCTGATGTAGTCGGAATCGTGCAATGGAATCTGCTTATAGCTTTATATAGAGATTTCTTATGATTATGATTCTTTTTCGCTTATATTTACTTTAAATTCCTACATATCACTAAATAGTTTTACCATTGGTTGTCAGTACAAGGTTTGTGATACCCTACGACCTGTGTTGTTCAATATGTGGATTTGCCATGAGGAAACTTTCAAAATCACTACTGAAGACACACTCCTTGTTTCAGAACTCTGTTACCCGGAAACGTCTTCGTCCCTGAATTACCGCACTCAGCCAGAGACGGGGTTGTGGAAGTTCTGCCTGCAGACAGTGGTTGGAACTGGTTTTACAGGAACCCTTTACGAAAAGATCAGCGGGAATCCTATTGGCGACTGCGCAAACAAGTGTACCTCATTGCCCGGATGTATGACCTTTGCCCTTGATCAGTCTGGCCGATGCCTTGGAACCAGATGGTGCCCCGGTTACTCTGGTCTTAATTACTCTGTGTATCAAATGGACAGCGTGACTGAGCGATGTTCCCCGGCGGAGTATCTACCAACTCCCACTTCTACCCAGAGTCCAGTTGAAAAATAACCAACCGTATTTACATAGCATATACTTATGCTTTAAAACCAGTTCTAATATCAATACGTCTTGTTTTTAATTTAAAACGGTAGGACTCTAATCCGTGGCATTTTCTCAAATCTAGGGCATATTCCACAAATAGGCCGGATACTGGCACATACTCAGATCTATGGCAGATTATCATTTAATATTAATACTTGGCAATCTCTAAAGCTCTAAACGTAAAATAGATTCATATATAGCGGCAGATTATATTTTATCGTTTCCCTTTGGAACAGCGTCGTCGGTGCGGGGATTGCATTTCGATATTTTACTTTAAAACGTTCCCCGAGGTTTCATAGAAATAAGTATCTAAGAACCTTCCGCACCTTCCGCTCATTTGCCGGAGTTGATCAAATCCTGACTATTTTCGCACGTTCCCACTTCGGATTCCAAGCCTTTACACGAGAAACTTCTTGGATTTAAAAGAAAATCATTTGAAAATGATCCGGCATTTAGGCATTACGATACTGGTTTCTATCGCTGACGGCATGAATCCCCCATAAGAATATATATGTGTGTTGTTTGTTTCCTTCACAAGATATACTTGTATTTGTATTACCTTGCTCAATAAAATCTGTCACCATATATTCAGTTACCAAACTGTAACAGGAGGAAGTGTCTTCCACTTAAGAGTGAGTGAATATGGTTTTACGCCGCTTTTAGCAATATTCCAGCAATATCACGGCGGGGGACACCAGAAATGGGCTTTACACATTGTACCCATGTCGGGAATCGAACCCGGGTCTTCGGCGTGACGAGCGAACGCCTTAACCACTAGTCTACCCGACCGCCCCTCCACTTAAGACTTAAAAGGAATCGGTTTATTAATCAGCAATATGTCAATATAGAGGATATTGCATGTGTCGAGTGAAATAGCGTTTCTCTCATCGATTGTCGGGAGGAAAGGAGATATTTTCACTAGTGGCGAGTTTTGTGTAGTTGTCTTAGGAAAAATAAATATTTCATTACTAATGTAAAACCTAGAAACGTAAATTGCAAAATCTTAAGAAATATAAACAAAAGTATCAAAAAATATTAAGTGTCACGAAAAACAGGTGTCCTGGGGCAATGACTATTTCATTAGAAATTAGTTTGGATATGGAATGAGGAACGTCACTGATCGATGTGGATCGGTATCTCTCTGTGCGACCACACCCCTTGGGTAAAGTATACTTTACTTTATATGTACAGCCCGTTAAACACTTATCTTACAATCAATGTTTGTTTCCACAACAGAACAAACCTAGTTTCCAACACATGGAGACATTTTTGTATTTGTACTGCATTGATCAATAAGCCCTATCAACAACACATCGATCTTAAGTTACTACAATTAATCGGCAATAGGTTTATTTCTTGTGATCATACACACAAATATCCCTTTAGGATCGTTTTTTATTTGGGCCATGATAAATGCATACACGAAAGCGGCAAGGCAAGGCTAGGCAAGGCTAGGCAAGGCAAGGCATTCCCCGTATTTGACATTATTTAGCTTAAGTCTTTAAGGAATTCATTGCCTCTGATTGTGGTCTGATATACATTTCTGGTTATGTCTGTTCAAGGTGTATGTTTGTTAAATAGAAAGGAAAAGTTAATAATGAAGATTATTTCATTATATTACATCGACCAGTTTTGTTGCGAGCTATCGATGTTCCTTATTGATAGTTTAGCTCGTCAGTGATTCAGTGCCATCGGGCCATGGACAATTGCGATGCAATAATACTTCGATCAACCGCTACACCCTTGTTGCTGGCGGTGGCTTAAAACAACATTCACTTACTTGCATTTCGAGGAGAATCAAGGAAAGCAAACATGATCATGACCTACGTGTCACACAGGAAAACATTGTAAGTCAATTAGCTATGCATGGTATATGCTTTAGTTGGGATTCAGACCCTGTTCCCACGCAGTCTTCATGTATTGTACTGTAGAATTGTCTGGAGCACAATTCACCATGTGCATTGTTAGAGGTGAATTTCTGCGATGATTCTTTCTACAATATTATAGGAATATTGGCACTCACTGGTAAACGCAGAACTAATTATCAGTCCTAGAACCCCAGCGAACAATAGTAAGTGTCACAATCTAAACTTCCCTCCCTCAGCGGCAATACACGATTTCAAAATATTTGCATCGTTCCCAACTTCCTTTTGGCGTCCACTTTTCACAAATGGGTCTCTGCTCATCTTCGATACAAGCTGATATTAGCCTCACAAAATTCTCATCAGTTGGATGATGTGAAAAAGGGGTATTTCTTGCCACAGAATATCGGTTACATTTTATCAGCAATTGTAACTCTTCTTCAAAGGAGTAAAGTGCTTCAGCAAAACAGCAGGAGCAAACACGTTCGTCATGTGGTATTTTGTTGTGAAGGCCTCATTCCATTGCAAGTATAACGTTGTTACATCGTAACATGTTAATTATACTCCGTTGTTAAAGAGGAAGATCTTGATATGATGGATTGCGTCGATGGAGTTGGTTGCTGATTATCTCACCCGCCCCCCCCCCCCCCCCCCCCCCCCCGCCGACGTCCACAAAATCGTGGTGTAGAAGGCTTCCTCCTGGTTGTGTAAAAAGTCATCCACAGGAGAAATGATGTCAACATCATTTGCATAATACTTTGTACAGTTCTTTCTTCAAGTTTGGAAAGAGGTGAAATCTGACTGCAATATCTGGTGAATACGGAGGATGTTCAATGAGTTCAATGAGTTTTCTACAACGTTTAGCTTTCATATTATCTCTCAGTTGCCTTAGTAGAACAATATGATATGGGTTATTAATGGCCTGACCTTTCCAGAGACTGTAACCAGTAGGAATCCTTTGGAATTCCAGAAGACAAAATCTTGCCTGCCCATGGAACAGAAGTGCAAAACAAGTGAAGTTCAATATTTTAGTTTGTCCTACAACACGACCAGTGATGTTCAGTAGTTTAGTTTGTCCTACAACAGGACCAGTGAAGTTCAATATTTCAGTTTGTCCTACACCACGACCTGTGAAGTTCAGTAGTTTAGTTTGTCCAACACTACGAACGGTGAAGTTCAATATTTTAGTTTGTCCTACAACAGGACCAGTGAAGTTAATTATTTCAGTTTGTCCTACAACACGGCCAGTGATGTTCAGTAGTTTAGTTTGTCCAACACTACGAACGGTGAAGTTCAATATTTTAGTTTGGCCTACAACAGGACCAGTGAAGTTAATTATTTCAGTTTGTCCTACACCACGTCCTGTGAAGTTCAGTAGTTAAGTTTGTCCAACACTACGAACGGTGAAGTTCAATATTTTAGTTTGTCCTACAACAGGACCAGTGAAGTTCAATATTTCAGTTTGTCCTACACCACGGCCTGTGAAGTTCAGTAGTTTAGTTTGTCCAACACTACGAACGGTGAAGTTCAATATTTTAGTTTGTCCTACAACAGGACCAGTGAAGTTAATTATTTCAGTTTGTCCTACAACACGGCCAGTGATGTTCAGTAGTTTAGTTTGTCCAACACTACGAACGGTGAAGTTCAATATTTTAGTTTGGCCTACAACAGGACCAGTGAAGTTAATTATTTCAGTTTGTCCTACACCACGTCCTGTGAAGTTCAGTAGTTAAGTTTGTCCAACACTACGAACGGTGAAGTTCAATATTTTAGTTTGTCCTACAACAGGACCAGTGAAGTTAATTTTTCAGTTTGTCCTACACCACGACCAGTGAAGTTCAGTAGTTTAGTTTGTCCTACACTACGAACGGTGAAGTTCAATATTTTAGTTTGTCCTACAACAGGACCAGTGAAGTTAATTATTTCAGTTTGTCCTACACCACGACCTGTGAAGTTCAGTAGTTTAGTTTGTCCAACACTACGAACGGTGAAGTTCAATATTTTAGTTTGTCCTACAACAGGACCAGTGAAGTTAATTATTTCAGTTTGTCCTACACCACGACCAGTGAAGTTCAGTAGTTTAGTTTGTCCAACACTACGAACGGTGAAGTTCAATATTTTAGTTTGTCCTACAACAGGACCAGTGAAGTTAATTATTTCAGTTTGTCCTACACCACGACCAGTGAAGTTCAGTAGTTTAGTTTGTCCTACACTACGAACGGTGAAGTTCAATATTTTAGTTTGTCCTACAACATGACCAGTGAAGTTAATTATTTCAGTTTGTCCTACACCACGACCAGTGAAGTTCAGTAGTTTAGTTTGTCCAACACTACGAACGGTGAAGTTCATTATTTTAGTTTGTCCTACAACATGACCAGAGAAGTTAATTATTTCAGTTTGTCCTACACCACGACCAGTGAAGTTCAGTAGTTTAGTTTGTCCAACACTACGAACGGTGAAGTTTAATATTTTAGTTTGTCCTACAACATGACCAGTGAAGTTAATTATTTCAGTTTGTCCTACAACACGGCCAGTGAAGTTCAGTAGTTTAGTTTGTCCTACACTACGAACGGTGAAGTTCAATATTTTAGTTTGTCCTACAACAGGACCAGTGAAGTTAATTATTTCAGTTTGTCCTACACCACGACCTGTGAAGTTCAGTAGTTTAGTTTGTCCAACACTACGAACGGTGAAGTTCAATATTTTAGTTTGTCCTACAACAGGACCAGTGAAGTTAATTATTTCAGTTTGTCCTACACCACGACCAGTGAAGTTCAGTAGTTTAGTTTGTCCAACACTACGAACGGTGAAGTTCAATATTTTAGTTTGTCCTACAACAGGACCAGTGAAGTTAATTATTTCAGTTTGTCCTACACCACGACAAGTGAAGTTCAGTAGTTTAGTTTGTCCTACACTACGAACGGTGAAGTTCAATATTTTAGTTTGTCCTACAACAGGACCAGTGAAGTTAATTATTTCAGTTTGTCCTACACCACGACCAGTGAAGTTCAGTAGTTTAGTTTGTCCTACACTACGAACGGTGAAGTTCAATATTTTAGTTTGTCCTACAACAGGACCAGTGAAGTTAATTATTTCAGTTTGTTCTACACCACGACCAGTGAAGTTCAGTAGTTTAGTTTGTCCAACACTACGAACGGTGAAGTTCATTATTTTAGTTTGTCCTACAACATGACCAGTGAAGTTAATTATTTCAGTTTGTCCTACACCACGACCAGTGAAGTTCAGTAGTTTAGTTTGTCCAACACTACGAACGGTGAAGTTTAATATTTTAGTTTGTCCTACAACAGGACCAGTGAAGTTAATTATTTCAGTTTGTCCTACAACACGGCCAGTGAAGTTCAGTAGTTTAGTTTGTCCTACACTACGAACGGTGAAGTTCAATATTTTAGTTTGTCCTACAACAGGACCAGTGAAGTTAATTATTTCCGTTTGTCCTACACCACGACCAGTGAAGTTCAGTAGTTTAGTTTGTCCTACACTACGAACGGTGAAGTTCAATATTTTAGTTTGTCCTACAACAGGACCAGTGAAGTTAATTATTTCAGTTTGTCCTACACCACGACCTGTGAAGTTCAGTAGTTTAGTTTGTCCAACACTACGAACGGTGAAGTTCAATATTTTAGTTTGTCCTACAACAGGACCAGTGAAGTTAATTATTTCAGTTTGTCCTACACCACGACCAGTGAAG